TCTTGAGGCCTCCATGAGTTTTCAGGTGCTATGGGGATGAGTTTCTAAGGCAGAGTTCTGGTAAAGCAACTGAAAAACACAGGACTGTAGTATCTGCCCCGATGAGGTCAGATGGAGGTTTGGGATCTGTGTATGAACAATCAGAATTCACTGAAAATCTTTTGGCTGATTTTGTGGTCCTACAATGGACTGGCCAGGTGATGGGACTTTTGCCTGGAGGTTCACAAAATCAAAACAATGGAAATGGGAAATCTGTTCTTAAAACAAGCCTGATTTTTGAGTTTCCATCAAAAGCACAGGAGGTTTTATGGGTGGAAGAAGATTCAGAGTGTAAGTATGGACAGAGGGCAAAGAGCTTACACTGCTTTGTACTTTCTTTTCCTGTGCCAGGTATGTACAGTGTCATGGGTGCAGTTCCACTGCTTTAGGCTTCACATTTCTCTTCAAGTCTTAGCATTGTATAAATCTGCTTTTGCCTTACACCCTCTACTCAGAGAAGCTAGAGAAATGGTATCTCAGGTACCAGTGAAACACATGATTTCTAAAGCATGTGAGCAATCTACTTTTGGCTTCAGTTCTCTGGCTGTGCATGAGGGAAACAATCTGGAAACACATAATTGCCCTGCAAGAAATATTTCCTTCTTAAGTTTCGTGCCAATGCACACCACAAGATGCCAAAGTCTTTGGTAAGGTGCAATAGTGGTTGATATGTCTATTACAGCTACAAAAGAAACCAACAGAAAAAAAATCGGTATTAGACTGCAGTAGCTGCTGTAATCATTAGGGTTCCTACTTAGCATTAAGCGAGTACTTTGGCGCTTGCTGATAATACCAGAAGAGAGACCCCAGGGCCGGGCCAAAGTTGTTCCCCGCCGAGCGCGGGCGTGAGGCGGCTGCAGTGTTGTGTCGGCGCCTCCGGGTGCCGCTGTTGGGCCGCCGGCGAGCGTTGCTGGAGCCGCCGCCGCCGCCGCCTGTGCGTGCTGTCCCCGCAGGCTGCTGGCTCGGGCGGGCAGTGCGGGCCAGAGCGGCAGCGGCACGGGCAGCAGAGGCGAGAGGCGGCGCGGGCAGCAGAGGCGTGCGAGTGGGAGGCGGCGGCGGTCCGGGTTTGCTTTGTCGGGCGCTGCTGTGGCTGCGCCGAGCGGCTGCGAGGGAGGCGGGGCGGCGGCAGGAGCCTGGCGAGCGCGGCGAGCGAGCGCTGTGGGCGATGTCGGGCGGGCGGAGGCCGAGCGGCGGGCCGGGCGGCGGGCGAGCGGCGGTGCTGGGCGCTGTGCTGCTGTGGCTGTGCTGGCGGGCGGCGGCGGAGCGGCTCCGCTACTCCATGGCCGAGGAGCTGCCCAGAGGCTCGCTGGTGGGGCCGCTGGCCCGGGACCTGGGGCTCAGCGCCGACGAGCTGCCGGCGCGCAAGCTGCGGGTGGCGTCTGCCGGCAAAAAGCAGCTGAAATACTTCTCGGTGAGCGAGGAGAACGGGAACCTGTACGTGAGCGAGAGGCTGGACCGGGAGGAGCTGTGCGGCAAGTTGGCGTCCTGCTCGGTCAGCTTTGAGGCGCTGGTGCACAACCCGCTCAACGTCTTCCGTGTCGAAGTGGCCATTGAGGACGTGAATGACAACTCCCCGGTCTTCAGCAAGGATGCCCTGGACCTCGAGATCGGTGAATGGACGGTTCCAGGTGCTCGTTTTCCTCTGGAGATGGCCCAAGATGCGGACGTGGGAAGTAATTCCCTGATTACTTATCAACTCACCAGCAACCCGTCCTTCAGTCTGGCCTTGAAAGAGATCACGAGTGGAAAAATGCAGCCGGAATTAATGCTGGAGAGAGCGTTGGACAGAGAGAAGCAGAGCTCCTTTGAGCTGGTGCTGACGGCAGTGGATGGGGGGGACCCAGCGAGGTCCGGGACTGTCCAGGTTCGGGTCAACGTGACGGACTTAAATGACAACCCGCCCGTGTTCAGCAAAAACGTCTACGAGGCTCGAGTGGCTGAGAATTTGCCGGCAGGTTCGCTGGTGCTGCAGGTGCGGGCCACAGATGCAGATGCGGGGTCCAATGGGCGGGTCTCCTACTCCTTTGTCAACGTCCCGGCCGGGATCCGCGAGTTGTTCTCTATCGACAAAGAGAGCGGTGAGATCAGCACCGAGAGGCCCCTCGATTTCGAGGAGACGAATATATACAGGTTCGCTCTAGAAGCGAGGGACGGGGGCGGACTCATTGGTTACTGTGAAGTTCAGATAGACGTCACAGACGAGAACGACAACACACCCGAAATCACCATTCTGTCACTGTCGAGCCCCGTACCTGAAGACGCACCGGTCGGCACTGTGGTGGCCCTGCTGAACGTCCATGACCCGGACTCCGGCGAGAACGGTGAGGTGTCGTGCGAGCTGTCGGGAGAGGCGCCGCTGTCGATCGTGGCGTCGTCGGGCGGCTCTTACAAAGTGGTGACGGCGAGCGCGCTGGACCGCGAGCAGGCGTCCGAGCACCGCGTGACGGTGGTGGCCCGGGACCGGGGCAGCCCGGCGCTGTGGAGCAGCGCGGAGCTGTTGCTGGAGGTGTCGGACGTGAACGACAACGCGCCGGTGTTCGAGGAGGCGTCGTACAGCGCGTACGTGCGGGAGAACAACGCGGTGGGCGCGCTGGTGTTGCGCGTTGTGGCTCGGGACTTGGACGCGGGCGCGAACGGGCGCGTGAGCTACTGGCTGTCGGGCGGCAGCGCGGGCGCGGCGGGCGCGGCGCCGCTGGTGTCGGTGGAGGCGCGGAGCGGCGCGGTGTACGCGCAGCGCTCGTTGGACTACGAGCAGTGCCGCGAGTTCTTGGTGGCCGTGCGGGCGCAGGACGGCGGGTCGCCGGCGCGCAGCTCGACGGCCACGGTGCGCGTCTTCGTGCTCGACCAGAACGACAACGCGCCGCGGGTGCTCTACCCGCCCCCGCCGGCGGCCCCGGGAGCGGCGTCGGCCCCGGGCTCGGTGGGTTCGGCTTTCGAGGTGGTGCCGCGTTCGGCGTCGTCCGGGTACCTGGTGGGCAAGGTGGTGGCGGTGGACGCGGACGCGGGGCGCAACGCGTGGCTGTCGTACGAGCTGGTGCAGGCGTCGGAGCCGGCGCTGTTCCGCGTGGGGCTGCAGAGCGGCGAGGTGCGCACGGCGCGGGCCGTGTCGGAGAGGGACGCGGCCAAGCAGCGCGTGGTGGCCGTGGTGAAGGACCACGGCGAGCCGGCGCTGTCGGCCACGGCCACGCTGCACGTGGTGCTGGCCGAGAGCTTGCAGGAGGCGCTGCCGGAGCTGAGCGAGCGGGCGGCGGGCGCCGAGGCGGCGGGCGAGCTGCAGTTCTATCTGGTGCTGGCGCTGGCGCTGCTGTCGGCGCTGTTGGTGCTGGGCGTGGCGCTGGCCGTGCTGGCGCGGCTGCGGCGGGCCGGGCCGCCCGGCGTGCTGCGCTGCCTGGGCGCGCAGCGCTTGTCGCTGGCCGGCGCCGCCTTCCCGGCCGACTTCTGCGAGGGCACCTTGCCCTACTCCTACAACCTGTGCGTGGCGGCGCCGCCCCGCTTGGCCGCCGAGGCCTCTTGGCCGCCGCCGCCGCTGCCCATCGTGCCCGCGGAGGAGCTTGTGGCCGGGGAGCCCTGCGAGAAGCCGAGTCTGAGCAGCAGCGCCGTCCCGGGAGAGCCGCCCGCCGACCCCGACGCACGACAGGTCTGTAAGCCCCTTACTCCCTCCTTCTGAGCTTTTCTTAAGGGTGTGCAGGTGGCAGTGTGCTCTTGAGGTTAGTTTCAGTTCTAGTGCAGTTAGTGCGTGTCGCTGTTTTCACAGGCGCGAGTAATAACTCCGTCCCGTTTTATGCAGCAGGCGTTGCCAACCGGCACTTCCTGCCTCATGAGCTGTCACAGATGTCGGCTCAGTTGGGAGGTTTTTGTCGTTCAACTTATGCTGCCTAAAACTGTAGAGGACTTGTAAAGATCTGCTTCTGCGTTCTGCTTTTTTAAATTTTCCTCTCAGAGCAGTAACGTAGCGACAGCACCTCTTTGTTCAATTGCTCACGTTTATCTACAAACCTTGTGTTGTGTGAAATAATATAGGTTACTAACGGTGAAGGTGGATACTTATATCTTAGAAAGAGATCTGCTAATTCCCCATGGTGGAGTTGGCAATGCGATTGACGCTCGGTAATGAGATTTTGCCTTCCTGATCCTTCTTTACCCTGTAGATGCACTGCGACCTGTTTGTTTGTTATTTGGGAATGTTAAGGAAACTTGCTAGAGGAGTGGGGAGTTGTTCTTCCCTAAGGAAAATACCTACCTTCCACCCTGTGCCGTCCCATTTTTTGGTGTAAGTGGGCTACCGAAAAGGGGAGCTGTAGTGAGATCAGTTTATTTTATCAGAGCTTTATTTCTTTTTTTCTGTTTCTGCGATTATTTATCATTCAGAGTTTGGTGCTTTATTTATCGTTCCTCAGATGGTTTTCTACAGATAGATTAAATGTGATCTAAGAAATGCTTGATAGTATCTCTCGCTAAGGCTGTGATCAGTTATGGAGCACTAAGCTGTATACAAAAGCACAGCGTTACATTTAGGGTGCAATGAAAAAATTGGGAAGTACTGATTGGAGGAGAGCAATGCAGGCTGATTCAGAGCAGCCTCGGATGTGCAAGTGAAAAGAAAAAAGAGAGAGAGAAGGGCAGCCCGTAGATTGTCTTCTCTAAGGAGGAATCTTCATCACTGCCATGTGCAATTGCTCAGGGTCTGGGAATCTACTGTGAGTGGAGGCGTTCCAGTGTTGACGCTCAGTGAGAAAACACAAAGAGAACGACTGGCACAAAAAGTTCTGCAGTTGCAGGGAAGATATTATGCATTCCTACCATAAAAGAGTAGATTCGGAATACTCTGCACGCCATATTAAGAGAACTTTGTATCTATAGATTATCACAATCCCATCAATATTTTCCTGTGCGGTAGAAAGAACATAACGCCAGGTCTCCGCTGGACTTGACCCGACATTTCCGCAGGGAATGTTCCGTCTTTTTGAGCTTCCCGTGCTCAAGGCAGGGCGGGCATGTCTCGTTGGCGCTCGGTGCGTGCAGTGCCGGGAGGAGGCTGCGGGCGCCGCTGTTGACCGAGAGGAGCGAGAGGAAGGTCGGAGCGCTGCAGCCCCGCCCGCTGCGGCCCGGCTCGATCGCTGGATCGCTGGATTCCTGGGTCGGAAAGCGGACTGTTTCCGATCGTCTCCGCGGTGCGGAGCCTAGATACAGCGAGGCGGAGGGGCGGGAGGCACTTCCCAGGAACGGCAAGTCGTAGCCGGAGTGGCAGCCGGATCGGCGATCGGTGGCCGGGATCTGCCGGCGGTGTTGCGGTGCCGGCGGTGCGGCGGCGGAGATGTGCGCGGCGGGGAGGCGCTGGGGCCGGCGGCAGCGAGTGCTGCTGTGGGGCGTCCTGCTGGCGGCCTGGGAGGCGGCGTGGGGGCAGCTGCGCTACTCGGTGCCCGAGGAGATGCCCAAGGGCTCGTTCGTGGGTGACGTGGCCAGGGACCTGGGGCTGCAGCTGCCGGCGCTCCGAGATCGTGGCGCCCGCGTTGTCACCGGAGGTAGGACGCAGTATTTTGCTTTGAATGGGAAGACGGGACATTTAGTGACGGCCGAGAGGGTCGACAGAGAGCAGCTGTGCCGGCTGGTGGAGCAATGCGTGCTGCGCTCTGAGCTGATTGTGGAGGGGGAAACGAAAGTTTATGAAATCGAAGTAGAAATCACGGACATTAACGACAATGCCCCGAGCTTCAAAGAAATCGAACTGCAGGAGAGGATAAGCGAGATGACAGCCACAGGATCGCGGTTTCCCCTCCCAGACGCTCACGACTCCGACTCTGGACAGAATTCCCTGCAGAGCTACGAGCTGAGCGGCGACGAGCACTTCTCGCTGGCCGTGCAGACGGGCCCCGGCGGGGATCAGCGTCCCGAGCTGGTGCTGGCGAAGGCGCTGGACCGGGAGGAGGCGGCGTTTCACGAGCTGGTGCTGAGGGCGAGCGACGGCGGCGAGCCGTCCCGGACGGGCACGGCGCGGATCCGCGTGACGGTGCTGGACGCGAACGACAACGCGCCCGTGTTCAGCCAGGCGGAGTACACGGTGCGTGTGCCGGAGGACGTGCCCGTGGGCTCCGATCTCGTCACCGTCACGGCCACAGATGCAGACGAGGGCTTGAACGGTCACGTGAAATATTCGGTGAAGAAAGCGACGGACATGGCATCGGATATTTTCCATCTGGACTCCGAGACAGGAGTGATCACGCTCGTGCAGAGCCTGGACTTTGAGGACGGCGACTACTACGAACTGGAGCTACAGGCACGTGATGGGGGTGGTCTTTTTGATACAACAAAAGTCGCGATCACCGTGACAGACATAAACGATAACGTGCCCGAGATTTCCGTGCGGTGGGCGCTGAGTGAGATTTCTGAGGACGCCCCTTCGGGGACTGCTGTAGCTCTTCTGCACGTGCAGGACCAGGACTCGGGGGCCAACGGCGAGGTGCGCTGCTCCCTGGATGGGAGCCTCCCGTTCCGGCTGGAGAGCTCACAGGGCAGCTACTACCGTGTGGTGACAGCGAGAGAGCTGGACCGGGAGCAGGAGTCGGAGTACAACGTGACGGTGCGGGCGGCCGACGGCGGTGGTCCGTCGCTGCAGAGCAGCAGGGTGCTGTGTCTGCGGGTGCTGGACGTGAACGACAACGCGCCGGTGTTCTCGCAGGAGCGCTACAGCGCTCGGCTGTCGGAGAACAACGTGGCGGGCGCGCTGGTGCTGCGGGTGCGGGCGACGGACTCGGACTGGGGGGAGAACGCGCGCGTGCGGTACCGTCTGGGGGAGGGTGGTGTGCGGGGCTGGCCGCTGTCGTCGTACGTGTCGGTGCAGGCGGAGACGGGCGCGCTGTACGCGCTGCGCTCGTTCGATTACGAGGAGGTGGGGCTGTGGGTTTGGGCGGAGGACGGCGGCTCGCCGGCGCTGAGCAGCAACGTGTCGGTGCGGCTGGTGATCGTGGACGAGAACGACAACGCGCCGCAGGTGCTGTACCCGCCGGCGGCGGGGGCGGCTTTGTCGGGCTCGGTGTGGTCGGGCGTGGAGCTGGCGGCGCGGTCGAGCGAGGCCGGCGCGCTGGTGGCCAAGGTGGTGGCGGTGGACGCGGACGCGGGTCAGAACGCGTGGCTGTCGTACGAGCTGGCCAAGGCGACGGAGCCGGGGCTGTTCCGCGTGGGGCTGCACAGCGGCGAGGTGCGCACGGCGCGCTCGCCACTGGCCCGCGACGCGGCGCGGCAGAGCCTGGTGGTGCGGGTGAAGGACCACGGGCGGCCGGCGCTGTCGGCCACGGCCACGCTGAGCGTGGTGCTGGCCGAGAGCGTGGCCGAGCTGCTGGCCGAGCTGGGCAGCGCGGCGCGGGCGGAGGCGGAGGCGGGGGCGGGCGAGGCGGGCGGCAGCCTGACGCGCTGGCTGGTGCTGGCCGTGGCCGCCGTGTCGTGCCTCTTCGTCGCCTTCCTGCTGCTGCTGCTGGCGCTGCGCCTGCGGCGCTGGCGGCGCTCGCAGCAGCAGCTGCTGGCGGCGGGCAGCGGCGCCTTGCGCGGCGTGCCGGCCACGCACTTCGTGGGCATCGACGGCGTGCGCGCCTTCCTGCACTCCTACTCGCACGACGTGTCTCTCACGGCCGACTCGCGCAAGAGCCACCTCCGCTTCTCGGCCGACAGCTGCTGCGACACCCTGCCGGCCCGGCCGCCGCCCGACGAGCCCGCGCCGCTGCTCGGAGAGGAGGATCCTGCCGGTGCCCAGCAGGCGGACCCCGCCCCTCTCCCGGTGAGTTCCTCTGACCAAAGTGTTTCTGCGAAGCTTCTCCTTCGGCTCTACTGCTGTTTCCCTGCCGTACTTCGTTCTCTGTGTACGGAAGTTTGCTGACAAAGCTGGCAGAGGTTCCTGCATTGACACTGTTGGTTGGTGGGAGGTGGACGTTGGGTCCTTAGTCGGTGCTCCAGGTTGCTGGGGAGGCAGGTGTAGTGAGGCTGATGGTGGCTGGAAGTTTGAGTGAGGCTTTGTGTTTTCGTCATGCACCAAGTGCTTTCTGTGCCCTGACATGTAACAGCCCTGTGTTCCTTTCAGTCCTCGGTCTTCTGTACAGGTGTGTTGCCTCACTAGCAAATTGTAGTTTGTGTTCTTTGCAGGTTCAGGTGTCTTCCCAACGGCACATACCCTTGATTTGGGTGAGGTTCTCTAGACTGCAATATTGACTTTGCTGTATGTAACTCTGCTGCTCAGAATTTGTACTCTTGTAGTCTTCATGTGTCTTGATGATACATAATGGAGGTCAGTAGGAAATGTCTTTGCATTCATCCATACTTTGCTCCTTGTGTTTCCAGTAGAGAAATGGGCTGGACAACAACTGGTGCCTTGATGATGTCTGTCTGTCTGTTATGAAGATGAAGGATTGGGTTGAAAGCAGTGACTGGTCAAAACCAGTTTTGGGTGGCTGCCTATGGAAAATGAAATGCAGGAGGAAACTGCAGAGGTGTTTTGCTGATTTCTTGTCTTTTGAGGTTGAGCCTTGTGCAATGAGACTGGATGTGCCTTGGCTATAAAAGACATGTCATGGCAAGAGCCTTGCGTGAGTGTGAGGGGAGAGACTCAAGGTGTAGAGGGAGATGTAAGGAGAGGGTGATTGCCCCTATACAGACCTTCACTGACCCACTGTGAATGTCTGCATACATTGACTGGAGCACTGCTCCTCTTTTCCTTTTAGAACTTTGAGGTTTCTTCACAGAAAATGAGTGAGCAGACAAATGTATCTTTATGCAGAAATGTAAAGATATCTCTGTGAAGTGGGTGGATTGAAGAGAAATGGTCTGATAAACTGGGCTTTATGTGCCAAGTACTTGTAAATTAGATGGTTCAAAGAGCATCCTGGATAATGTGATGGGTCGGGGATTTGAGTCCTGCAAGCGCAGGAGGGTCTGTTGAAGGACACAAGGGAATGCTTTTCTTGGTTTTGGGTTCATTACCCACCTGTAGTACCTTGCAATGTGAGGATTTCCTTCCCAAAGTGTTTGACGGGAAGACGTATTCCTGATGCATGGAGAGCCCTGGGGGGTTTTTTGTTTGTGTTTTTATGTTGTCATAATTGTGTAACTGCAAAACTTAATTATGTAATTATGACAAAGGTCATGTGGGAGCTTTGGGAAGAGCAAGCTGTGTGTTCACTTCCTCATAAACAACTGAATTAGTCTCCTACTCTTAGTTACATGATCTAAAAGAGTGTTTTAGTCTTAATTTCTGCAGGAGTTAACTATCCACCTTTCTGTTTTGAGGATCTCAAGATGGGCCTTTACCTCCGATACAGTGTGTAAAATCAGATCTGTCCTATTTGCCTGCCTGTTACATTTGTTACCTTTCCTGTTTACAGCTGGAAAGAGAAAGGCTTTCAAGACATGTTTCTTTCAACTGTCACTGTAAGAAATGCTCTTGCTTGTGACATGCCAAGGGTGAAAAGTCAAATAATATCCACACTAAGGAGACGTTGTCTGACAAATATTTCTTTTTTGGGGAGGTCTTTCTGTCAATCTTGAAGATCTCTGATAACCATGAGAGCTGTGAAGAGTTTGAGGAGAGTGTTGTGTGTGAGGAGGTGCTGGTGGAGACATGGCCTGTGTTTTGTTGACTCCCAGGGTTGAAACTATACCTTATGAAAATAAGTCAGAAAGAGTCTTAATTTTTAATATTGCGTGGTTTGGACTCAAATGGCCAAGTTTTGGGTTCAGCACATCTTACATTATGAGTGGTAGAGCTTTCAGAGAGCCCATGTGTGATGTTCCCTTTGAGCTGATATTTGATGATTGGGTTTTTAACTGAGCTGCTGATTGCTTTTGCTCTGTATAACATTTTAAAGTTATTCAAATTATTGGAATGATCAGAATAATCTTTTAGTGATGCTTGGGATCTAAGAAGTTGTGTGTGCAACTTTTCTTGTAATGTTGTCCATCTGCAGATTTAACTTTCCTGTGGTGTGGTTTTTGGATGGGGAAAAGAGTTCTGTTTGTCCAGAGAAAAGGCTGGTGCAGGAGTTCACTCTGGCACAGTGTGAGGTGGCTAAAAGAGAGGTGTAAAGGTCCAGTTTGATCCAGTTGTTGGATGAGGCCACAGCTGTGATTCCAAACTTGTTTGTTTTTTCACTGCCAAAGACATGAGTGTGTCTGGGGTCTATGCTGTGATCTCCTGTGTGAGCCTCCTGTGTACTTCCTACCAACCAGTTTCCTTTGTGTTCCTACCAGAGCTGACACAATCTGAAATGTGAATCTGTGATTCAAACACTTCTGATGGTTTCTCACTCTTGCTGTGTTTTGTTTATTTTTTTGCTTTGTGTCAAGGAGTAAAGCTGGTCCTCCCTGTGCCTGGCAATGCTGTGAACAAACCAAAGCTGTTGAAGCTTCTGAGGAGCAGCTCAGATATCTCAGTTCTCTTGAGATAAGAGGGGTTACTTATTGTGGAGAAGAGAAAGCTTAGGGGGCACCTCATTTCTCTGGTTGGGTGAGGTTTCGATGAGTTTGGATGAGGTTTTGAGTGTTTTAGTCCAGTGGAAAGGGTTCCTGCCCATGGTAGAGCTGGGGATTGAATGACCTTGAAAGAACCTTTCCAACCAAACTACTTGAAAAGCAGTTGTAGTGAGGTGGAGGTTGGTCTCCTTCCGTGTCTTAAGGGAAAGAAGAACAGAAAATGGTCTTAAGCTGTACCATGGGAGATCCAGATTACATATTTGATTTTCTTTTTTTGTTTGTTTCTCTGAAAGAGTGATCAGACATTGGAATAACTTGACCAGGGAGGTGGTGGAGTCACCCTCTCTGGAAGTGTTGGAGAGGCCTCTGGGTGTGGCACTTGGGGATATGGTTTAGGGGTGATTATGGTAGTGCTGGGCTGAGGGTTGGACCAGATGATCTTGAGGGTCTCTCCCAACCTTTGATTCCATGATTCAGTGTGAAACACCAAAAGACATCTTGTGATTGTCAGGGTGGGAGAGAAGTTCTTCTCCATACCCTGAAGGTGGACCTCAACTAAGACAAACACTTTGATGAATATCTGTTTCTCTAACATGGGACTGAATGAAATGCTCTTTTTGCTGAGGCTGCCATGTAGTCAGAAGTTGGGTATTGCCCATGGTGCAACCCAAGGCTGTGAATGCAGAGCCAGGAAATGGAGAGGCTGAATTTGAATGAGGAAAATGGTTGGGTCAGTGTGGGTTTGACTGGTCAATAGTTTGATTTCAAGTCTGAGGCCAAGGTCTGTGCTGTGTTTCCTTTTGTCCTGGTATCCCTGTCCTGAAATACATTGACAGTCCTCCAGCAATGAAGGATTTCCTGAAAAACTGTGCTTGTAGAACCATGATGGATGTGTAGAATAAATTACCTTTCCTATGTGAAACTTTGATTATCCATTTGTATCTCTGCAGAGTAGAGTGATGTAGAGTTTCTTCTTAGTTGCAATCAGACTTTCTTTCAGGACTTGCTTTCTTGTAAGGTCGTGGGGTTTTTATGCATTTCTGGTCAGTGCTTCTGCCTTTGAAACTGTGTCTGTGGTTTGGCAGCAAAGACTTCCTTCAGCCACCTCAAGCAGAATTTTGTGTGTGAGGAATATGGAGAAAAAGCAAAAAGGGAATCTGTTGTAATTTCTTTGAAGGTTGAGCTTGTGAAACTGCTTGATATCTGTGGGAGGTGAGCAGGCCACCCAGTAGAATTGCTGAGATCTGATGACTCTTTCTTAAAATGAATCCCATAATTAGGTAGTCCAGTGTAAGATGTTAGGGCTGCACTTGCAACTTGAGAGCTCAGTGACCTCCAAGTGCTTTCAGAGATGAATTCCAGTGAAGAGCCCGAAGATTTCCCAGTGAGGTTCTCTGATCACCCCTTGTCTCCTCATGCTTCTCGGCCTTGCTTCTCTGATTTACATTTTTGGGTTTTGTTTCTTAGTTTCACATATCTGCAGGTTTCCTTGTATTTATCAGCATTGCTTCATTCAGCAATGCACGGTGTGTTAGTGCCTCTTGTTCATGCTACAGCAGCTATGAAAGGCCAGAGACATGAAGGTAGTCTTGAGTTTTGTTACTGTCAGGACAAATAAATGTAAACATTACCTTAGCAGAAGCTGTAAGTCTGTGGAACAGTGTGTGTGGTAAAAGAAGGCAGAAAATTCACTCTTAGTCATTCCTTTGATGAGCCATTCTCTGTTGGATGACCACTCCTCTTTTATTTTGGGGGTTTATAATTTTCAGTGTTTAGAATCCTTCCATTTCTTCTCAGAATGGTGGTGAGCAGGCAAATGTCCCTCCCTTCTTGGTGTTCTTGTAGTGCATTATCATCTCATGGTAAATTTTGCCAGCAATGAGAGGGTCACAAGCAAAGCTGCCAGTTGTGTAGCAGGAAAGAGAAGACAGGAGAGCTCTGTGTGTGAGGTTGTAGAAGGACATGGTCATTCCCTTGCTCATCAAATGTCACAGGTAACACCTACATGTACCTGCTGGGGTACCATGCAATCTGAGCTGCTTTGGCACAGTAAGTGAGGCCTATGAAATATTGTTACACCTGATCTGTTCCTTTCTGTGTGTTCCCAACTCTTGCCTTTCTTGGTGTCATGAGCTCAACCTCAGGCTGTCTCTCTTATGTGGAAGGTCATTTCTCTTCCAGCTGTCCCAGTGCAGGTGCAGTTCCTGCACACACCTGTGATGTTTACAGCTGTGAAGGGGAAGCTTTCACAGGCCGATGTGCTCACCCAGGCACACTTATCTGTAGTGTAACAGTGCCAAACCACCTCTACTGCAATCCTCCAAATGCAGTGGTCACCCAGTGAAGCCAAGGCTTCTATGAACTGACCAGGGGCCGGTGGGAGAATATGTGCAGAGTGTCTCTCACACAGTTGCC